AGGGACCAGTTCCCAGCACCCACACAGGACAGCTCACAACCACCTGTATCTCCAGTTCCAGGAGATCTAATTTCTTCCTCTTGCCACCATGGCCACCTGCATATACATGTTACACATGCATACAGTCACACAGTGCACACATGCATGCACATAAAATAACTTTTTAAAAAATTTACTTTTGCCAGACAGTGGTGGCACATGCCTTTAATCCCAGCACTTGGGAGGCAGAAGCACGCAGATCTCTGAGTTCACAGCCAGCCTGGTCTACCGAGAACCCTGTTTAAAAAAACAAAACAAAACACCTTTTTTTAACTTTCATTCTTTTTACTTATACTTTCATTCATTTCACTTATGTGTAGGTGTGTGTGCTTGTATGTGGGTCTGTGCATGTACGTGCACATGACGGCAGTGATCTGACCCCCTGGAGCTGGACTTACAGATGATTATGAGCTGCTGCATGTGCTAAGAGCCAACCTTGAGTCCTCTGGAAGGGCAGCCAGTGCTCTTAGCCACTGAGCCATCTCTTCAGTTCCCCCAGGCTTTATATTTTATATGTTAAAAAAAACTGCAAATAATTGAAAACAGCTACAAGTACAGATCCATACCGGTAAATTTAAAAGAGAGAATAGGGGCTGAAGAGATGAGTCAGAGGTTAAGAGCACTGGCTGCTCTTCCAGAGGACCCGGGTTCAGTTCCCAGCACCCACATGGCAGCTCACAACCATCTGTAGCTCCAGTTCCAGGGGATCTGGCACCATCACACAGATATACATGCAGGCAAAATACCAATACACACAAATAAATAAATTTTAAAGAGAGAGAGAGATTAGCCAGGAGGTGGTAACGCACGCCTTCAATCCCAGCACTCAGGAATCAGAGGCAGGTGAATCTCTGTGAGTTTGAGACTAGCCCGGTCTACAGTGCAAGTTTCAGGAAATCCAGGGCTATATAGAGAAACCCTGTCTCAAAAAAACAAAAGAAAGAGAGAGAATAAGCCAAAACAATTAAAGGAACACCATTACTACTTCAAAAATGACATGGAAAAAGGCATGGTAGTACACGCATGAACTCCTAGTGTCAGGAGTCAGTGAGACCCTGTTTGGGCATTGTTTAGTTTTGTAACACCAGGTATCGTGGTGCAGGCCTATAAGCCCAGTACTTGGAAGAAGAAAGCAAGATCAGGAGTTGAGGATCAGCCTTAGCTACATAGTGAGCTGAAGGCCAGTCTTGGCTATGTGAGACTCTCTCAGGAAAAGAAGGGGGTCGGGATGGGGAATGGAAGACACACAAACCTCTGTCTTATCATTCTGGTATGAACTTTATTTCAGGGTAGCTAAATGGCCCTGAGCTATGAAGTTTTTCCTGTACAGAATTAGAGCTAATAAATAAAGATATACTAATAGTGTCAGGAAATGATAGTTTTGTAATCCCAGTGAAATAAAAGGATCATCAGTGGATGGCAAAACACCTTGGTTTAAAAGTTGGTGGGAAAGTTTATGGTGCAGGAGTCAGACTATCACCATCTGAAACTGGACGGAGTGTGGGGTCTGACATGGGCAGGGAGGAGGAGAGCTTCCAACTAGGAATATCCGTACTCTGTGGAATTACTGACAAATAAGTCTTAGATTGTGTTAAGTCACGGAAATATGGGAGCAAGTCATTAGAGAAGTTCATTTACTAGCAAAGTATACTATATATACATATTAAAACATGTAAAAGCCCAGAATCATATTATACACATACACATATATATTTAAAGATACATTTCCAAACATATATTGACACATTTGAGTGTATGCCTATGTCCAAGAGAAGATTGAGAGTAGGGATCAAGAACTGAAAAAAAAAAAGAAAAAAACGGATCTAGAATCAACGATAATTAACCTCTAAGGAATAAAAAAACATTTAAAAAGGAGACATGTGTGAGCCCCGGGGAGAGCCTGGCTTAGTCTGTTGGGAATGTAATTACCTCTGTCTGGAGGAGCAGGAGCCACAGTGGTCCTGGAAAGGAGAGACTGCCAGGGACCCAGCCTGCACAAGCCCTCCTTCGACATGCTTTGAAAAGCCTGAGGATTTTCACCCAAGTCTGATTCCTTTTCTAAGACTGGCCTCAAACTTGCAACCTGCCTGCCCCAGCCCCCTGAGAGCTAGGACTGCCAGCATGTGTCAGCATGCCCAGCCTACCTGGTCGTTAAGCCACTAGAGTTTGTGGTAATCCATTACATCAGCAACAGCCAACCAAGACACTGCTGGAGAGTAAGAAAAGAGTGGCTGAGGGGGCTCAGTGGGGAGCCATGGATTTCACAGAAGACCTTACAATCACACTGACTTTCATCTGTACCATTACTTATTTGCTACCGATCTGAAATTAGCAAATTTCTATTCAACAATATGTTGGTAACAGGGGCTGTTTATAGGATTAAGAAACAATGTTTTGAAGTGCTTAATGTATAAACCAGGTTAATTTTCTTTTTATGCATTACATTTCCTTGTGGGCGCACACACATTCATTATTCTTTGAATGGGTGCAATTGAATACTCAGCATGTACCTGGCACCATAACCACAATGTGCTTGTGCTCACTGTAACCCCAAATATTTCTAACTGAAACTGTCACTCAGTTTCCATTCAACCTAAGGTTTAGCCTAACCACCCCCAGCTCCTTTGAAATACAACACCTGACCTCTCCCATGGTCTCGGGTCCCCTGGACAGGTTCTGTTTCCCCAGCTACCATCTTGGCATTAATGACTTTGGAGATCAGACTTTCACCCTGTTTCCTTCTCATTCTTGTGTCTCTGCATCTCTCACTTCTCTGGGCTCCCAAACAGCTCCTATCTATACCATAAAAGTCCATGCTGATAGGACAACAAAGCCTCATCCAGGCAGCCTAGAGGCATGCAGGAAGGAACAGGGATACATTTTCTGTGATTCTTGGATTCATCAGATGATGAACTAGAGTCTAAAGGTATTAAGACAGGATAGGATACCCAAACCCAAGTGTGGCAGCTCACACTTCTAATTACAGCACTCAGGAAGCTGAGGCAGAAGGACTGCCCACATATTTCAGGCTAGATATGTCGCTGAATATGACTTTGAACCCCTAATCTGTATCCACCTGTCAAGTGCTGGGATTACAGGTCAGGTGTGTGCCACCATACCCAGGTAGGTCTCAGATCTTACAATGAGGAAAACAGTTTTCAGTTCCTTTGGGCATTAGGGTGGTTGACTAGGCAGTGTGACTACAGATGGAGCTGTGGGTTTGCAGACTGGGCAGTGTGACTACAGATGGAGCTGTGGGTTTGCAGACCGGGCAGTGTGACTACAGATGGAGGCAGTTTGTAGGCCGGCAGTAGGTTCTCTATCATGACCATTGCTACAGTTTCACAACAGGCAGAACTGGGCAAATCTATGCCACCTCTCGAAAGGCTAGATCGAATTCCATTTAAACTTGATTTCATCCAGCAACTCCAGCAATGTTGCATAATGGCCACAAGGAGGCAGGCAACCTCTTCAGCTCCTAAATTTATAGCTGATGAAATGTAACTCAGAAAAGGAATACAGTATCTTCAATGAGGAAAGGTGGTTGGTTGTCCGAGGAACACTATAGATGGCTCAGAGTGTGGACTGGGACAGAGCATCTGAAATTCCAGTCTGAGGAAAAGAAAGCAGGAGTCCCAGAACTATGGGCCACAGAGAGGAAGTCCAGCTACAGCAGAAAAGAAGCTATGGTCGCTGTAGAAATAACAATCACTTTGAGGGCACGTGAGGAGAGGTCTAGAGGAAAGCCAGAGACCGAATTGCTGTAGGATTTGGTGGCTACAAAACTATTGAGGTGTTGGGGCTGGGGAGGCAGGAGAGTAGACACAATCAACATGGTTACTTTCCCTTCTCTAAAATGAAATTTCTGGAAAGCAGAAAAAGACTGTTTTAGGGAAGATTCCTCCAACTCAGGAGGGTCCCCTGAACAAAGATTGCCCTTTCCCCTCCAGTAATCCAATTTCAGGGCCCTGGAAAGACAGGGCAGCTACCTGGGACTCAAAGGGCTAATCTCCAAGAAGTCACTCTGGTTTCTTTGTTTTTGTTTTATTGGTTTGGGTTTTAGTTTTTGGAGACAGTGGTTTTTGTGTGTGTGTGTGTGTGTGTAGTTCTGGCTGCCCTGGAACTCTCTCTGCAGACCAGGCTAGCCACAAACTCAGAGAGATCTGCCTCCAAAGTGCTGGGATTAAAGGTGTGAGTCACCACCAGCCAGCTCTGATTGTTTTTTGAGACTAGGTCTAACTATGTACATAGCTTTGGCTGGCTTGGAACTCATAGAGATCCACCTGCCTCTGTTTTCTGAGTGCCCGGCTTTATTTAGGTATAAATCACAGCATTTGCCACCCCTTTCTCTGGACCTGCCCTTTCCTTGAGCCCCCAAATGGCGATTTCCCTGAATTTCTTCACCAGTGTAATTAGCTAGGGCCTTGGGATCCAGCCCCAGAGCCAGCCCCAATTACCCCTCAAGTCCAGGAGTCATAGGCTTGCCCTAAAGTTCTTTCTGGTCTATTCCCCCCAATGAGGCCCAGGAACCACAGGGCCTCTGTCTTTTCCTGCCACACTCCCACACCGTAGCTCAAACAAGGGGATTCCTTGTGTCTCAACTCCAGAAAGGCATCCTTATGATTAAATGGTGGAAGTTGGCCAGGATGAGGGAAGAGTGAGCAGAGTCAGAGATGACAAGATCATCCCGCCATCTGCGAGTGTCCCCAGAACCTTGAGAATTCACTCTCCTTATTTCCAAGCAACAATGGGACGAGAGGCACATAAAAATGCAGAGGCCGAAAGAGGAAACTGAGATGTGAAGACGCTCAAGCTAAACTCCTGGCAGATAGATCTGGAGGTAAGAAACAGGGCCAGGGCCAGACAGGGTCTCCAGTAAAGTGAGCTAAGCAGATTTGAGAGCTGAGGTGGAGGCCTTTGAGTTTCTCACCACCTGGTAAGAATATCATTACAGCACCAAACAGGGATGAAAACACCATGTTTGAAAAGAACCTGATAAAAGCAGCACAGACATCGGCAGGAAGAGCAATGTGTTTCCTCTCACAGGAGGCAATGGCAGGACAACAGGGACTCAGAAACCCTCGATACAGGCCTATCACACACCAACCAGGACTGCTATAGAGGAAACACTCTTCCCTGTATCATGGAAGGAAATGACATCACTCAGCAGGCAGCAAAGGGTTCCTCTTCCAACTCCAAAGGCATGTAGGAGGGCCAATCCATGGAGATTTGGTCCTGAACGCCCCTCCCCAGTTCTCCATCTTTTATAAGAGGCATCCCAGCCTCCTAGGCTCTGGATGAGGAGATTATTTCCCCCATCTCTTCTTCAGTGATGTCCTAGAGGCCCTAAATTTTCATAAACCTTCCCCTCACTGGGGAAGGGTGTGGGATACCCTTACATCAGGAGCCACAGGCTAGTTCTCTAGAGTGAATATCTCTATGGAAATAGCTCCAGGGACCCAGTAATTGAGAGATAAATGCCAAGGCTCCCCAGGGACCAGAGAGAGAAGCCAGGCTTCTGTGGTAAGTGATTTCAGTACAGCTTCTGTCTCGTCGGAGGTTGAGGGAAAATTGAGAGAGACTTGGGCCAAACGTTGAAAGAGTCACAAAGCACAAATAGGTAGGAAAGTTTTTACAAGAAGGTCACATCATCCTGGCACTGTCCCCAGTACCAGTGAGCCTCAAAGCCCTGCTTGACATTGTCATCCTCCGATAGCTCAGGTGGTCCACCTTGAAGCTCGTCTCCTGGGAGCTGCCAAGGAGCTGTTAAGCTCCCTAGCTTGGTGGATGTTATGTCCACCTCAGTCCTGGCTTCACCGGGTATAACCTTTGCCCAGTCAATCTCAGGACAGGAAGGCCCAGGGGGTCCTTGTTCATCCAGCTCTCTGGGGGCCACAGTGTCCAAGAAACTGCCAATAGAGACACTGTCCAGCCGGTCAGTTGAACTGGTATCTGGCAGGCTGTCCCAACTGCCCCGCCTTGAGCGGCCTGGGCTTCCACCTGTCAGGCTATACTGGCTGCTGGTGAGACTACTGCAATGGCTGGTCAGGGTTCCCCGCTCCTCCAGCAGCCAACGAACTGCCTCAATGCCCTCATTCAGGGTCACCAGCTGCTGCAGGATCTTCACATCGATAGCTCGAAGGTAAGCCTGAAGAAGCGAGAAAAGAAATTAGTTCCTGGTTCCATGCTGTGAGTTTCCCAGGTGCTTCCCTAACCTTGCAGTCCAGTCAGCTATGCGTCACTCACTTTTAGAAAACCTGGACAGCCAGTCAGGTGCAGGTGGTACATGCCTTTAATCCCATCACTTGGGAGGCAGAGACAGACGAATCTCTGTGAGTTCGAGACCAGCCTAGTCTACAGTGTGAGTTCTAGGACAGCCAAACCAGGGTTACACAGAGAAACCCTGTATCAAAAACAAAACAAAACAAAACAACAACAACAAAAAACCCCACCAAAAAAACAATAAATAAATCAATAAGCAAGCCATCACCCACTTCACAGCCTGGGAGCAAGGGTTACTAAAATGCTGTCAGGCATGTACTTAAACATTAAAATATGAGGCTCAGGGGCTGCAAATACGGCTCCGTGGGGAGAACACTTGCGTGGCAGGCACTAAGCTCTGGGTTCCTTAGCACCCAGTAAAATAGGTATGGTGATGTAGTTTTGTAATCCAGGCACTCAGGAGATGGAAGCAGGAGGATCAGAGGTTCTAGGTCATTCTCAGCTATATCAGCAGTTCAAGACCAGCCTGGGCTTCGTGAGACCTGTTTTAAAATTAATAAAGTAAAACAAAACTGTTGTGGTGGTTTATGTCTATAGCTCTAGCACCTAAGAGGCTGAGCAAACACTTGGAAGGCAGAAGCAGGCAGCCTGGCTCCAGGACAGCCAGGGCTACACAATGAAACGCTGTCTCAAGAAACCAAAAAAAAAAAAAAAAAAAAAAAAAGACAAAAAAGCAGACAAAATAAGGAGGCTGAGGTAGGAGGAACAAGAGTTTGAGGCCAGAGGCCAGAGAGATGACTCACTGCTAAGCCTTGCAGAGGGCTGGAGTTTGGTTCCATAGGAGCTGGCTCACAGCCTCTTCTAAACTACAGCTCCAAAAAATCCAGTCCCCTCTTCTGACCTTGACACACACAAACATGTATAAACACATAAATCAAAATAAATATTCTTAAAACTTTAAAGGTGTTTAAGGCTAGTGCAAGAACTAGTAAATCACTGTCTCTCTCCTTTCTCTTCTCCCAGCATCTCTCTGCCTCTCTGTCTCTCTGTCTCTCTCTCTCTCCCATTCTCTCTTCCTTCCCCCATTCCCTTTATCTCTGTAAAACACTTCACTGAAGAAAAACAAAACAAACACAAAACTAACAAATCCAGAGTTAGGGTTAATGCAGAGTACCTGCTTAGCCCGTCCAGTCTCCAACACAACATACACACGTGTACACACACACACGAATCCAAAATCCACTCTACTGGGCTTCAAACTTTCTATTCAAGGTAAGCTGCTGGGGTATATTCCATCATACTGTGAACCCTGAATTTGCATTTGTGCTTATTAAATAAAATTAGCCTTGGGTCAGGAGACTGAGTGAGTATCTAGAAAGTAATCATAGAGCATCAGAGGGCATCCAGGAGAGATAGAGAGACACAGGAAGTAGTAGGGAGGGATTTGGAGTGGCCCAGTTTTTTATGGTTTGGCAGAGTGGAAGCATGGGTTTTTCGGAGACACCAGTAAAAAAAGAAGGTTAGGTAGTTGTGACCCAGTCTCTCTGAGTTAACAGGTTTTCACCCCAGTCTTGAGTTTTATTTATAAAGAAAATGATAAAGGTTACCTTTAGCGGTAGCCACAGAGCCTGGTGGGACACCAGGCTGTCACCTGAGCAGCAGGCCGCTGCTACAAAAGCAGGCCAGTAACTGTGGAGTTGCAATTGCTGGCTGAAGTAGCAGTAGGTTAAGACACAGCCACTGTGCCAAAGCTAAACAACAGTAAACTATTCCACCAATCTAGATTCACCAGTGTCACTTAGAAACCAAAGACTAGCTCTCCTAAGGTGTCCGCTGGGAAACAGTTTGGGCCAAAAGAAGATGGATGCTAACTTGGTTCCCTTGGTGACAAGGCCCAAAGGGGAGAAGGGCTAAACAGAGCTCAGGGTCAGAATGCTGGGGATTTGGGGCCTTTAGTTTTCCTTTAGTCTTCCGGAAGTAAGTGTGAATTACAGTAAAACCTCCAGGGGTCCCTCCCACCTCAAGTGTACTGAGTTAACCTTTCTCAAGCACAAGTCTGAACCTGCCCCTAAGCTTTGCAGTGTTCAGAGAGAATAAACATATCAGTAGATGCCTGTTATATTATGACCCTTTTCCATCTCTCTAGCTTCAAGTCTAGATACGTCTTTGTAAATCAAGATCTTGCCACAACATTTGTTCTTTTTGTTTTTGTTTTTGTTTTTAAAGATTTTATTTATCTATTATGTGTACAGAATTCTTAGTATTCTGTCTGCATGTATGCCTGCAGGCCAGAAGAGGGCACCAGATCTCATTACAGATGGGTGTGAGACATCATGTGGTTGCTGGGAATTGAACTCAGGACCTTTGGAAGAGCAGGTAGTGCTCTTAATCGCTGAGTGGTATCTCCAGCCCCTGTTTTGTTTTTGAAACAGGTTTCACTATGTACCTGGCTGGCCTGGAACTCACTATGTATGCAAGGCTGGCCTCACAGGGATTTGTTTGCCCCTGCCTCCTGAGTCCTGGGATTAAAGAAGTGTGCCACCATCCTGGTATATTATTGCTTGCAAGTTTAGATTTATTTAGTTTAACATTTTTTAAACATTTATTTTGTTCTGTCTGCATGTATGTCTACATGCCAGACCAGAAGAGGGCACCAGATCTCATTACAGATGGGTGTGAGCCACCATGTGGTCATTGAACACAGGACCTCTGGAAGAGCAGCCAGTACTCTTAACTGTTGAGCCATCTCTTTCACCCTTATTTAGTTTAACTTTTAACCAAATTAATACATTCATATAGAAATAGGCCTGGTGGCACAAATTTGTAACCCCAGCTAACGAAGAAGTGAAAGCAGGATTGCAAATTCAAGAACATCCCAGATAACTGTTTTGTCTCATAATAAAAAGATATTTTAGTCAGCTGGTGGTGGCTCACACCTTTAATAACAGCTCTTGGGAGGCATAGACAGGTGGATCTCAGTGAGTTTGAGGTCAGCCTGGTCTACAAAGCGAGTTTCAGGACAGCCAGGACTGTCACACAGAAACACCCTATCTCAGCCTCTGCACCCCCAGTGCTGGGGTTAAAGGCGTGTGCCACCACCATCCAGCGATGCTTAAAAAAAAAAGATATTTTTAAAAAGGACTTGGAGAGTCAGCAAGATGACTTAGCAGGGCACCTGCCTCTGCCTCCCCAGTGCTAGGATTAAAGGCGTGTGCCACAATGCATGGTTTCACTTCTTGAAGACCAGGGTTCGGTTCCCAGCACCCACGTGGTAAGCTAAGGACAATCCTTAACTCCAGTTTCAGGGAATATGAAGCCCTCTTCTGACCTCTGCAGGCATCAGTCACGCGTGTGGTCCACACATACACATAAACACTGAAAACACTCAAACATAGAAGAAAAGTAATAACGCTATATATTTTTCATTCCATGAGGCAAATGGTAGAGAAAACAACGCTTCAGAGACTTGTGAGTCTCTGGAGGGCCCTAACCCAACCTAGATGAGAGACATGAACTTGAGAGACATGGACTTAACCAGTGGGGAGAAGCATTCCAGCCAGAGGATGTACTGTCCTCTGATTCTAAATGGAGGACACCTGACACCGCATCACTCCAGGTCAGCTCTTCTGGGAGGCAGGCCCGGCATTTTTTTTCTTGAACTTTTGATCCTGCTGCCTCACCTCTAGTATGCTAGGATTACAGCCATGCCAGCCACACCCAGTTTTGTGTCGTTCTAAGGATTCAACGCAGGGCTTTCTGCATACAAGGCAAGCAAGCACTCTCCATCTGAGCCCATGCCTAGCTCCCCACAGCATTTCTCTTCCTGCACAAGCCCCAGTCTGTCTCCTCCTTCCCCATCCCAGGTCATCAGCTCTCTGAGATTAGTTCCCGCCCAACTCATTGCAGGTTTTCTGCCTAAGGTTGCACCGAGCACCTTCTATTCAGCTCTGTGATTCTGAAAGAGACTGAGTTTCAGTCTCTTAGGAAACCAACGGGAGCACCAGACTCTTTAATCCTGCGACAGTGGGATTCCCTGACTGTGACAACATCATCCCCCCAGAATAGAAGTAAAAGGCCTTCTCACCAGAAAAAGAAACACTCATTTCATGCCATCTCTTTGGAAACAGAGCAGAAGATAAATAGAGGCCACCCAATGCTTTCCCCTGGAGGCTCCCTTCTCCTCCCCCTATGTAGATCAGATTCTGCCCAGCCCAGGTGTCCTGGGCAGGGCTCCCTCTTTACTCAAACCCAAATTAGGTCTCAGGTTAAAAGCCTGAAGACCTATTTCTAGATCCCTGGTAACTGACTGTTGGGATTAACTATTGTCACTAAAATAAAAATCCTTAACAGTTGCCTAGTTCCAAAATTACTCCCTTATTTCCTCTGTCAAAGGACAAAAAACCATAAGGACAAGGAAGAGACAGGACCCTCCTTAAGACCACACAATACATCAGAAGTGGAGACAAGGGGGGACTGGAGAGATGGCTCAGTGGTTAAGAGCATTGCCTGCTCTTCCAAAGGTCCTGAGTTCAATTCCCAGCAACCACATGGTGGTTCACAACCATCTGTAATGAGATCTGGTGCCCTCTCTGACCTGTAGGCATACATGTAGGCAGATATTGTATGCATAATAAATGAATAAATATTTAAAAAAAAAGAAGTGGAGACAAGGTTTGAACTTGTGCCTTTCCCCCATCCTTGACTAATCCTTTCTCACCAACTGCACCGTTGCCATTGCTTGCCATTCCCACACATCTCAGACTGGCTCTTCCCTCACTCAGCTTCAGACTAGGAAACAAGGCGAGAGTAGAAAGCTAAAAGTAGCACTGACCTTGGCCTGAAGGTCAAGCCTCTGCTCCTACTGAGGGGAGCAGAGAGACAGGGACAACTGAAGGACAGACCTTAGATGGCTTTGGTCAGTTCGGCCTTCCTGACCTCAGATCTCCTGCCCCGCCCTGTGCTTCAGTAAACGAGTGGTTAGAACTGAGTACAGGAAGAAATCAATGCTCTCCTGGCCTGAGGAGGGAGAGAGGAACCTGACATGGATCTTTTCCCTCTTCCGGTCTCCAAAACACTGTTCATGGGAAGCCTCAGACCCTAGATCAGTTAGACCAAAAGTTAAAACCAGAAGTTAAGGAGCTGGAGAAATGGCTCAGAGGTTGCTTTTCCAGTGGTCCTGAGTTCAATTCCCAGCAACCACATGGTGACTCACAACTGTCTATAATGAGATCTGGTGCCCTCTCAGGCAAACATGCAGACAGAACACTGTGTCAATAATAAATAAATAAATATTAGAGAAAAAAAACAAATATACTTCCCTAGAGTTTATAAAGAATGAGAGTCAGAGGTTAGGCCTGCCTCCAGATTTCCCGTATGAGAAGCAAGCCCATGGACATTTGAAACTCTTCTCATTTCAGTGACGTGAAATGTGCTTAAAGTGCCAGCACAAAACAGGTTTTTCATGATCAATGTGATCAAATGATCTGGGCTCAAATCTTGGCTTTACTTTTTGAGTGGCCGTGGGCAACTGCTTCGGTTCATATATAAAATATCGAGCTGAGCATGAAGGACTAGCGTGGAGGAAGAGTGGTACAGCTCAGCTGAAGAGCACTCGCCCTGTAGGCGCAAAACCCTAGATTCAGCACCTCAAAGGGGGGAAATGGCACTGGAGAGACAGCTTAGCAGTCAGGAGCGCTTATTCTTGCAGAGGATCCAGGTTAGGTTCCCAGCACCCACACAGTGGCTCAGAACCATCCATAACTTCAATTCAAGGTATTTGATGCTCTCTAACCTCCATGGGCAACAGGCATGCACATGCTACACACACATTCACACAGGCAAATATTCCTACACATAATTTTTCTTAAACTTCTTTAAAAAGAAAATAAACATGTATTATGCTGGGCACTGATACATGGCTTATATTCCCAGTATAATTTAATTTCTAGCTGGGTATGGTGGCCCACGCTCATAATCCCGGCACTCAAGAGACTGAGTGAGACAAGAGGAATATGTGTTTGGGGGCCAGCCTGACAAAACATAGACTCAAAACACCGAAACAAAACAACTTAGTTTTCAAAGGACAAAGTAGGTAGGCTTTCTCTATGCCTTGAACAGTTTGCACAATGTACCAGGCCTCTTTCAGAGGTAAGTACAGTCAGCCCTCTGGAGAGAATTTGGCATTCAACTACAACCTTCAAGACCAAGCACACACTTGACCTTCATATCCTGCCCCCTGGGAACCTCTCTGATCCTCATCCCAGGAGGCTCTCTTAGCATAGAATGAGAGCCCTGGGCTGGCCTTAGAAGTTGACTATGTCTCTCCTTCCACCCTTCCAGATCTGCTTGACATAAGGTTGGGCACACAGTGGGGCCCCAGGAAGACCTATTAACTGGCACAGTCACGGCTTCTGGTTCTGAGCCCAGGAGTAGCTGGCAATTCCTCAGTTCTCCAGAACTGGCTGCAGAGTGGCGGCAGGTGTAATCCATCTGTTTCACCGGAACCAGGGCCCTGGGGGAGCCCGCTGGGGCCCAGTTGCCCTTTTGGCTCAGAATTTGAACCAACAGCTCCAGGGAAGGCGGGGTGCTGCTGTTTCCTCCCCTCTCCCCAAGAGTCTGAAAGGAGACTGAATCCCAGGTGAAGGACCAACTCGAACTGTGTGTTGCTACTCTGTTGCTGTCTCTATTAAGGTCTTTGAATGTTTAATACCGTGCTGGTGCGATGCTTAGGAAAAAGACGTGTTTTTAGTGTGTCCCTAATGCAGGCAGTTTCAAAACACCCTGGGGCCTTAGGAATGAAACCTTTCTCCAGTTTGCCAGAGGAGTGGGTAGAAAACGGTTGCCTTATAATGGGGTATTAGGAAATTGACGGCCCCGGATGCTAATGGAAAGAATTTGCGCTGAACTAAGTTTTTTGTACTACTTAGCCCTGGCCTCCCTCCTACCGATTATTGGGCAGGGAAAAGTTCCAAGAGCTGTGCCTCCTACACCAGTTCCCAGGCTCTCTCAACCCTTCACTCACCCTTGGGAGTGAGAGGTCATGCAATGAGACGTCATTTCTCTCCACTTTCAACCGAGGGTATATGGATTGATCTAGGAGGGACCCTCCTCCCTCCTCTGCAGCCTAACTCTGGGAACCTGAGCCTATCCTTACAAATGGCCTTATGCTGAGGACCCTGTCCCTGTCCCCGTGGCCTATAGCACCCACACTCACCAGCTCCATCCTCAGCGCCATGATCTTGTCCCCCAGGCTGTGGCCGGTGCTGGATGCCCTAGGGAGCAGCAGGTCCCCAGAGGTTCCCAGCTCCCACTCGCCTCGAAGCCCGCGGAGTAGCCCTTCCGGGGTCTTCCTGCCCACCTTGCCCTCCACGTCCCGCAAGTCAGGCGTCTGGGACTCTGCAGTCCCCTCCATGTGGGCCCAAGCCAAAATAAGGCTGGGCGACCAGACGCGGAGGTCCAGTTCCCTAGGGTCCTCCCTTCTCCGCCGTGAACGCGGAGCGAAACCGGTGGGTCCCCGCCTGCGCCGCGCTGGGGGCAGGAGGAGGGCGCCGTAACGCTCAGAAAAGCCGCGCAGTCGGGCAGAGAAAAATACCGAGTGTTGCGCACACAACTTCTAGCCGTGGATGGCATGCGACTGGATTTGGAACTGAAGACCTCAAAGGGAGCTCAGTGCTTTCTCTTTACGTTGACGCCCGCTAAATGCACAGCAGACAGCTAAAAAAATGTTTGCTGAATGAAAAGTAGATAGCCTCAGTCAGAATTAACACGGCTGCAGAGGGTTTGAAGTCTTTCTGCTAATAGCTGTGTCGGTTACAGGAGTTAGAATATAGCTGCCCAGCTCACAGACACCTCCCAGCGCCCCGAAATCAGACTGAAGGAGTAATAGAAGGCCAATTCCCCTGGCCATTGAGAAGGAACCATTATTAAAATTTAAGGGATCCCCCACGGTCTTGCTCTTGAGTTTACAGGGTTTTCCAAACAAAGAGGTGCTTTCTAAACCTGACTAAATATGTTTTGATTTTTTTTTTCGAGACAGGGTTTCTCTGTGTAGCTTTGGTGCCTGTCCTGGAACGAGGTCTTGTAGACCAGAGCTGGCCTCGAACTCACAGAGATCCGCCCGCCTCTGCCTCCCAAGTGCTGGGATTAAAGGCCATGCGCCACCACCACCTGGCTAACCTGACTAAACATGGATCATCTGAAAACCTCGTGAAGTTAGGGCCTGAGATACTGCATTGCCCTTTTTTGAGGGGAGTGAGGGGACAGAGAGGGTCTTACTGGTTCTGTCTGGCCTGGAACTTGCTATGTAAATTAGGCAACCTTGAAACTCACTGAGATCCACTTAACCACTGCCTCAACAGTACAGGAATTAAAGTCCTTTTCAAAGATTTTCTATTTTATTTACATGTACATGTTCACGTAAGTTGAGGGCATGTGCACATGAGTACAGCAGGGCATCAGATCCCTGGAAATTGGATTTAGCAGTTGTGAGCTGTGCAAAACGGGTGCTGGGAACTGAACCCAGGTCCTCTCTAAGAGATGCCGAGTCATCTTCAGCCCCAAGAGCCTGCATTTCTAAGACTACAGGGGATGGCCATGCTCCTGCTCTGAGGACTACACTGAGTAACAAGGGTACATTTCTAAGCTGTTTGGACTTAATTCTACAGGTAAGGAGTGGCCATGAAAAACTGTTTTGTCCCAGCATTATGGGAAGATTTATAATGGAATGTGCTTCTTCCCTCTGCTCTTTCAGACCTCAGGGCCCACTTCCCAAACTCTCAGTTTGTTGTTGTTTGTAGTGTGTGTGTGTGCTTAACTACGCATAATTCTAGATTTTATTTATTAATTTACTACACGTATGTGTCTTTGTGTGAAAATATACACATGAGTACAGATTCCCCCTGAGGTCAGAAGAGGGCCCTGGAGTTGGAGTTACTGTCAATAGTGAGCCATCCAATGCAGGTGCTGGTAACTGAATTCAGATCCTACTCTAAGAGCAGTCTGTACTCTTAACTGCTAAGCCATCTCTCCAGATCATCCATCCATAATTCTAAACTATCTTCTACCACTCATTCCAAATGTATTTATTATTAGTATTATTTTGGTTTTAGTTTTCCAAGACTGGGTTTCTCTGTGTATCACTGGCTGTCCTGCAACTCACTCTGTAGACCAGGCTGGCCTCAAACTCAGAAATCTGCCTGTCTCTGTCCCCCAAGTGCTGGGATCAAAGGTGTGCAACCCCATTTGGCTATATTTAAGTATTATATACTGACTTCCAATGAATATATGGATTTCTTTTTGAGGCAGGGTCTCTTGACAGGCCTTGAACTCAATGATCCATCTGCTTATACGACTAAACCAGGCTCAAATATATGGGCTTGTTTTCTTTGTTTTTCTTTGAGACACAGTCTCATATGGGCCAGGTTGTGTAGCTGAGTAGGACCTTGAACTTGAGCCTGCCTGTCACTCCCAAGTGTCGGGAATCACAGGTATGTACCATCATAACTCACCTCTCCTTAGCATTACTTGACCTATAGTTTTTGTGGTGGCTTAAATAAGAATGATCCCCATAGATTCATATATTTGAAATATTGGTTCTCAATTAGTGGAAGGATTTGGGAAGGATTAAGAGGTTGGCCTTGGAGGAGGTGTGTCATTGGGGGGGTCAGCCTTAGAGTTTCAAAATGGCCAAGTCATTCTCAGTTAGTTCTCTCTGCTTTGTGCTTTTATATGGAGATAATAGTTGAGCTCTCAGGGTTTCTCTTTGTGTGACCTTGGCTCTCCTGGATTTCACTCTGTAAACCAGACTGGCCTTAAACTCAGAGACCTGCCAGCCTGTACCTCCCAAATTCTGGGATTAAAGGCATGCATGCACAGCCACTGCCCCATCTTACTCTGGACTTTTCAAGAAAAACTGGAGGAGTAAAACTCTGCGTCAAGGAAACTAGCTAGAGACCAAAAAAAAAAAAAAAAAAACAAAACAAAACCCAAAACAAACAAATAAACAAAAAAACTGAAAGTACCTGAATTTGATCATAACAGGTGCAAGTGAAAGAACTGGGTAACTGAATAATTCATTCATTTCAAATGGCATTTAATATCGTTAAAAAAACAAATTATTTCAACTATCATGAAAGTTGATTTCAACTAACATCACTGGAAAAAGACAAGGTGAGTCCCAGCTATATGGCCTGATGCAATTTACCAAACAAGGGAACGTAGAAGAATCTGAGAACAAGTGGATATGATGCCCGTATAGTAGCTATGGAACTGTGGGTTCTATGGAGAGATGCAGCAGGCAGGTAGACATGGGAGCCTAAAGCTCAGGAGAGAAATGAGGACTGCACTTGTGAGTTTGAGACGTCAGACAATGCACGTGGAATTTCTTGTTGGGACCACCAGCACCCAAATAACCACACAGAGACTTATTAATTACAAAAGCTTGGCCAATAGCTCAGGCTTGTCCCACTAGCTCCTATAGCTTAAACTAATCCATTTTAAAAATTATTTTCTGCCTCATGTCTTTATTATTTTTATTCTGCCCATATTGCTTTCCTGCTTCCTCCGTTTCTGTCTGGCAACTCCTGAGACTCCGCCTTTATTCCCAGTATCCTCTTAATTTGACTCACTCGCCTAACCTCTTCCTACCGAGCTATTGATCAGTCAACCTTTTATTAAACCAACCAGAAGGCATCTTGGTAAAGACACATCTTCACAGTGTACAAAAAGATTATTTCATAACAGGACAATCATAGAGATCATGAGTAGATGAGATCGCCTATGAAGAACAAATGAGAACAGAAAAGGGTCAGAAACTGGTGTGAGAACTTCTACTTACTTGTTTTTTTTAATTTTTATGATTTATTTATCTTTTTTTATTTTATGTGCATTGGTGCGAAGGTGTCAGGTCCCCTGGAACTGAATTTTCAGACAGTTGTGAGCTGCCATGTGGGTGCTGGGAATTGAACCTGGGTCCTCTGGAAGAGCAGTCAGTGCTCTTAACCGCTGAGCCATTTCTCCAGCCCCCTACTTACTTGTTTTTAAATATAAAAAAAAAACTCCACCAAACTTATTTTGTTTCTGAGAACAGGTTTCACTTTATAATCTTGGCTGTCCTGGAACTCACTTTGTAGACCAAGTTGACCTGGAATCTACAGCAATTCTCCTACCTCAGCCTCCTGAATGCTGGAAGTGCAGAAGTGAATTACTATGGGGAGATCTTAGCATCTTGCTATGAAAACCGACTTGACTCAAACTGAAGATTCTTCTTCCCTCCCCTCTGTAGGAGTGAAGGTACAACACCATACCAACCTGACAAACACTGTTAGCATGTTGAAAGATACCATCCCTCCATGCAGGAAGCAGATGGAATTTGGAGAGTCAAAAAAAAAAAAAAATGTGTTACTGGGCAAGTTGGTGCAGTCCTTTAATCCAGTACTTGAGAGGCAGAGGCAGGTGTCTTTCTCTGTCCCGCCAGCCAGTTCCCAAATATAACACAGAGGCTTATCATTTTGAAAACTCTGCCTTAGCTTAGGCTTATTCCTAACGACTTCTTATTAACCCATATTTTTTTATAATTTATTTTTATTTAATGTTAATTGGTTTCTGCCTGCATGCACATCTGAAGCCCTGGAACTGGAGTTACCGACAGGTATGGACTGCCATGTAGGTGCTGAGAATTGAATCTGGGTCCTCTGGAAGAGCAGTCAATACTCTTAACATTGGGTGCCAATTGTTGTAATTAGGAGTGGCGGGCCACTTCCTGCCACCCAGCTAGCTTTTCCTAAAATAATTACATGAAAACTGTATTCATTTAAACACTGCCTGGCCCATTAGTTCTAGCCTCTTACTGGCTAACTCTCACATCTTGATTAACCCATTTTTAATAATCTGTGTAATACCACGAGATTGTGGTTTACCAGCAAGATTCTAACCTATGTCCATCTCGGGCTGGAGAATCATGGTGTCTGCCTGACTCTGCTTCTTTCTTCCAGCCTTCCGTTTGGTCTACTCCACCTATCTAAATTCTGCCCTATCAAAAAGCCAAGGCAGTTTCTTTATTAACCAATGAAAGCAACAGATAGATAGAAGACCCTCCTATGTCACAACAGAGCCATCTCTCCAGCCCTAAACCCATATTTTTTAATCTATGTTCTTTACCTTTACACTGAACTGCCCATCCTGCTTTCTCCACATTTGGCCGGTGACTCTGCCTTTCTTTCTCTCTGAGTCCTCCCTGTCATCAGAAGTCCTGCCTAGGCCTGGCAGTGGTGGCACATGCCTTTAATCCCAGCACTCGGGAGGCAGAGGAAGGCAGATCTCTGTGAGTTCGAGGCCAGCCTGGTCTACAAGAGCTAGTTCCAGGACAGGCTCCAAAGCTACAGAGAAACCCTATCTCGAAAAAAAAAAAAAAAAAGTCCTGCCTAACCTCTTCCTGCCTACCTAATGGCCATTCAGCTCTTTATTAGACCAACCACAATGGCATATCTTCCCACAGTGTAAAGAAATGTTCTGTAACACAGATGGACCTCTGTGAGATCAAGTCCAACCTGGTCTACACAAAGG